AAAAACCCCATCCCATTCCTCCAATACCCTACTGATGGAATCGAGAATGATGCTTTCAAACCTGGAGAGACCTCTGAAGTAATCCTTTGGCAGCCTGAATTAAATAAATGTGACAAGGCACTACTCACCTAGGGGCCAGGCACTGGGCTAGGCGCTGGAGGAACAAAAGACAAAAATGAAAGGTGCTGCCTTTGAGAGGCTGACCATCTGGAGGGGGCGGGGGGAGCCGGGTGGTGGCCGGGCACTTGAGCTGTGCTCTGAAGGAAATCAGGTGCCACAGGTGCAGGGGTGGGGGACATGCTCTGGGCACAGGGGCCACCAGTCCCAAAGCACCGAGGCAGGAGATGCCGTCCTGTGAGCTGAGGGTCAGCACGATGGGCATGGTGCGTCTGAGGCACTCGAGGCTGTGAGAGGATGCTATACATTACGCCTGATGCACTTCTCAGGCAGCAGAAGGACAGGCAGCCTTGGGTGTATGTTGGCAGCCGCGAGGAGGATGGATTGGAAGTGGGGAGACCCTGGGGAGGCTGTGGCCACAGTCTTGGCAAGAGGTGATTAGGGCTTGGGCCAGGCTACAGACTGTGTGAGCATGAGCAGGCAGAGCTGGCTGGCCTGGGCACCTCACTGGGAATGGGAAAGAGGCACAAGGCACGGTCAAGAAGGACTCCTCAGGGACCCCAGGAGGGTGGTACCCACACCAGAAATGAGAAGCTTAACAGTCAGATGAGTATGGGTGAAAAAGAAGGGCTCCACTTTGGAGAGAGACATGAGAAAGACACATGGTATGTCTTAGGGACATCTAGGGGAACTGTCCAGCAGGCCTTTGGGAGAGCAGCGGGTGCCAAAGGGGGAAACTGAGGCCCTGAGGAATGACGTGGCCAGCTGGCCTGGGGCACACCGCTAGGTGTGACAGGGCTGGCATTCTGGCCCATGCCAGGTGTCTCCTGCTCTAGGCCTCCGAGCACACTACAGGACCACAGGGAAAGGAGAAAAGAAAATTGTTTTGGTTCAGTTTGATTCAAAGCCTGGCATTTGAAAAGCAGGTATTGAGGCCCTTCAGAGTCTCCAGGAAAAGGGCTGTGAGCATGGCACCATCTCATGTGCAAGAGAGAAGATGCCACTTCACTCCTCTGCCCCAGGGTTAGTGCAGAAGTAATGGGCTAATTCTGAAATGGTCTAGAGAATGCTCAAGTTTACAAATACCAGAAACTGTCCTCCCTGACACCTGGACTCCCTCCACTACCAGCAGATGGGGTGATTCAAATAACCTGCCCCAGGGACATGCAGCGCCTCATCCTGAGGTCCCTCTGCCCCTATCTGGGACCCCTCAGAGAGAGCACCACTCCAAAAGCCAAGTCACGTCTGCCCTGAGGACCCCTGTGTACACGCTCAGGCTGCCAGGGGAGGGACGGGCTGCTCCCTGCAATCCTACCGCCTTTGGTCCCTTCTTACAGTGTGTTTAACATGCACGGGAGCAGAGGCCTTGGAGGTGCACCTGGGGCAAGCACTAGAGGTGGGGGGTGGGGTGCGGCGGCTGCAGGAGTCCCAACATTTAAATTCTGTTTTCAGTCTGATTTGTTCCCAGTAACTACACTACTCACCCCGGAGCATCTGGAGATCACTGCTAGACCCAGGTCACCTAAACAGCCCAGATCGTGCCCCTGGTCCCTTGGCTCCATGACTCTGAGGCCCCTCAGCGGGATGCCTCACTGTCATCTCTCCTGTCCCACCAGGGCCGGTAACCTTGGAGTCAGCCTGGACTCTTGGCCATTCCTCGGCCACCGCATGTCCAGGATGGCTGCCTCTCCCCCACAGACCCTGCCCTAGTCCAGGCCAGCCTCCCTGCCTCCAGTCTCTCTCCTCCCCGATCCGCTCTCCATGCCGTCACCACAACATCCCCTTCTTACAGCGCCAGCCCCATCACGTCCCTCCCCGGCTCAGGAAGTCGGGGTGGCTTCCTATTGACAAAGATTTTATAGGACAAAATCTAGACCCCATCAGACATGTAAAGCCCATTTTCCGAGGCCTCCTTTACACAACTCCCACAGCACACAATGCTCTCCAGGCCACCCAAATGGTCTCCTGGCTGCTGCCTCTCCTCCCCTCCACCTGCCTTTCTGCGGTGTTCCCATCAGGAGTGCCCCCGACCCCCACAGGGCAGGCCACCTCCTGGAAGGCCTTGAGATGTCCCTGGTTCAGAATAAGTCGTTTTTCTGTTTCACGGGTTGCTGAAGCCAAAGGTGAGCGTCCGTGCGCACAGCATTTACCCCTCATGGAGGCTCTGGGAGGCCTGGGCCTGGGTCAGTCTCGCTGCTGCACTCCCAGAGCTGAACACAGCCTCTCATACATATTCACAAATGCGGTTTTCATTGAACTGGATGAGGCAGAACATCAGGAGAGATGTTTGGAAAGGAGACAAAAATCCACTTAAAGAGACAGGAATCTGAATGCTCCAGGTGGGAGTATGAAGCCCAGGAAGGTCAGAGAGGTGATCGCAGAGACTGCCTGGGGTGGGAGCAATGGAGCAGAGGATCTGGAGGTCGGGCTTCATCTGAGGGGGGCCGGACTAACCACGGCCAAGGGGGGCTCGCTGCAGGAAGGAAGTCCCGGGTGCACAGCCCATGGGACGAGCCCCAAGGAAGTGCAAGGAAAAGGGAAAGCTGCCGTCGGGAGGCCAGGGTGGTGCCGGAGGAAGGGGCCGGAAGAGCACCCACATGACGGGGGCTCCGAGGAGCCCCATTTGGACCTCTCCCGGTGTGTGTCTCACCCTGTCAGCCTCCCTCCCCTTTCCCTCTTCCTCACTCTTTCCCCACTCCTGCTCCTCTCCTGCCCTCCCTGTCTGTCTCTGTATCTCTCCCTGCATATGTATCTGTCTGTCTCCCTCTCTCCCCTCCTGTCTCCCCCCTCTTCTCTCTTTCCTTCCCTCCCTTCATCTCTCCCCCTGCCTTTCCTCTGTCTCTTTCTCTTCCAAAAGCAGAGCAGTAATTAGCTTCTTGACTTTCTTTGATCATCATTTCATGCTTTCATGAATGGAGGAAGGGACAGGGGTGGGGGAGTCCTACTGTGGATTATAGCAGCCTCCGTAGGAAGGGGCCCCTCTCTTCTAATGTGTGATCATGAGACAAAGCAGGCGTCGTCTGACAAGCACCCTAGATTTCGGGGAAGCAGACCGCAGAACAGTCAGGGAAACACAGAGGCTCCTAGAGCCTGGAATTCTGCAGCAGGAGGCATCTTGGGGGTGGCGCTCTCTACGAGGGACAGACTTCTTGGCTTCAAGGAAGGAGGGAGATGCCTAACAAACTTCTCATTAGACACAGTCAGCATATAGGGGGATGGGACAAAATCAGTGCACACAATGACCTGGAAGGAGGAAGGGGGGAGGGAAGCTGCCATGACACTGGGAGAGGTCTGCAGACGGTCCCAAGGACTGCGTCCTCACCCTCAGCTCAGCGGGCTGGCTTCAAGAGGGTTAGGACCTTTATCATATTGGAAACTGAGGCCACTTTCCACACCCCCCACTGACTCTCTCAGACTAACTTTGTATGATTCATTCTTTGTTTGTGCACTCTGTGCCTTTAAAAGAATGGAAGCCCTTGAGGGCAGTGGTGACAACCTCACAGTCTTTCTGTCTCTAGTGCCTGGGAGAAGGCCCTATGTAATGTGGCGGGCTGGCCTTTGGAGAGGGACCCACAGACGCAGGTGTGTGTGTGTGTGTACACACATCTATAGGGATGGCAAAGGGGGCAGACACATGGACAGATGGATGTCAGTAGAGTTTAAAGTTTACTTTTCTATCACTTTTAGTTCAGAATACATGCTTTCCTTTCCGATTTTGCTCCTAGCCAGCATCAAGACTAGAAGCCAGGTCAAATCTGCTGGGGTGACATCGGCAGGCTTAGGATTTCCCAGGGCCCCCTCAAATCTGTCCCAGGCTGTGAACTCCACCATCTCCGGAAAAAAGTCTCTGCGACTAGAAAGCCCGGCGGCCCTTGCAGTACCTTTGGTTTTGATATCTCAGTTTTACCAGATGAGCTTTTCTGCCCAATATCAGCGTTCTGCACCCAGAGGCCTCCACCTCAAACAAAGGGCCAGGGTGCGGGTGGGGGGCAGATGGACCACTAGGTGGCTGTAATGACCTGGCTCCGCCCAGGCTCCCCAGAATGCTCAGCACCCCTGCCTCAGCGTCTTCTCATGCTGCGGAGGTCTCGGCTGGCCCTCCACATCCGCCATGTTCTCTCCACACTCTCTGGGCCTCTCTGCTTGGCTCGTTTCACGTACTCCCTGGCACTCAACCAATTACTCATTCACTGAATCTTGTCTACACTCGGTGAATACGCTCCCAGAACTCATTCTCTTTCCCCCAAATCCTTACCCCACTCCTGGTGGGACACCACCATCCTCCCAGATGGTGCCAAGGCCTGTCGATTTCACCGTGGCAGCATCTCCTGTACGCTTCCCCTGCAATAGCTTTATGCCCCCTCCTCTTCCCTGATGCTGCCCCCAGCCTGGGACAGGCCCTTATCATCCCACACCAGGACCGCTGCAAAGGCTGCTGGGGGGTGGGGTCTGCTGCCTCAGGGCTCTCCGCACTCCTGCCCATCCCCTACACAGCAGCTGAGATCAAACTGAAGAAAACACACACTGCCAAAGTACTAAGCCATGGTCACCTATAGATTATAAGCTGTCCCTACCGTGGTTACACATACATAATCCTAGAAAGCTCCATGCGTGTATGTGTATGTGCATGCGTCCACATGCCTATGTACACCCTGGAGTCCCTCCAGTGGGTGGTCTGCAGGCAGGGGTGCAGTGCCAGGGGCGGGCTGGGGTAGGGGATTTGCACTGTCCATAACGCCTAGCACACGCGTTTGCTGAATGGGCCAGAGTGAGGCTGGCTCAGCTCAGGAACGAGCGGGTTTGAATGTCTCGCCGTAGGTGCCTGCGCTTCAAAGCAAAGCCACGGCCCTGGCGGAGGGAGGGCAGTGGTGCGTGAGGCTCACCTGTAGGGGTATCCGTGGTACTTGGAGCGGAAGATGGACAGCAGGAAGCTGAAGAAGAACACCACCAGGCCCAGGCCCACCAGGCAGATGACTGGGGAGAGAGAGAGAGAGAGGGCGCAGCATAAGTGCAGGCAAGTGGCGGTGGGGGCAGGATGGCCAGCTCCCCGTGACCCCTTTTCTGAAGAGCAGGTGACTATGGGCAACCTGCCTCCTGGGGTGAGAGGCTCCTGCAACTGAAAAACCATCAGCCAGAATCTACATAGCTGCCCCTGGCAGCCCCTTCTCTGACCACACGCTGCCCAGCTCTGCTGCCCGCCCTGGAAGGACGGAGACCCTCGTGCCATGAGCAGATGGAGTTGTGCTTCTTCCCACATGACTCACAGAGGCACACAGTGCTAGATTCAGCCAGCCCCATCTTTAAGGCACAGAAGAGGCGGCCTCGGAGCTCTCCGCACAACGGAGTGAGCAGAAGTGCTGGCACACACATGTGACTAATGACGTAAGCCAAAGCACTTAGTGAGCACCTACTGTATGCCCGGCACCGCATTAGGCACCATACAGCCAGAGACAACAAAGGGAGAGGTTTCTTCCAAGAGATCTGGTTTGTCGTCCCTGGATCTCCGCAGACCTTCATCTCCATCATTCCAAGACTTGTTGTCTTTGCCGGACTTACAACATGAATGACTCAGGAACGGATGTCTGCTTTGTGGGCATTTCTCTTATAAATTTCTATCAGGAATCAGTTCAGGTCTCCGTGATACTCCCGAGAATGGCAAACCCTCATTTCCTCAAACCACAGCCAGAAAGTCCCTCCCTCTCACGCTCTGTGGCCAGGGACACTGGCCTCCTGGCCATCCTCTGCGTGTGGCCCGCCATCTTCCGACCCCAGGCCCCTGGAATGACCTCCTGCTTTCCACTGCCCATAGCTCGTGTGCACACAGTCGTTGGCATGTGGCCTCCCCCAGACTGTGAGCTCCTGGAGGGTGAGGACCAGCAGAGTGCCAGGCATACAGGAGGCACTAAATAAATGCTTCCTGACCTATTCTACCCCATAGGCCTTACTGCAGTGCCCGAGTGAGCTGTCAGCTGACACCTGTCACAACTGATTACCACCTCAGATGGGCAGGGGCATATTCCTATTCCCTGGCATTCCCGTGTTGATTCCGTCCTCTCACATGAGCAGCAGGGCAAGGATTCGATTTCCCACCGGATGCAGGCTCTCGCTCAAGGGTGGTTAGGGGTCCTGGCCCTGGTTCACTACCCGACAGGGCCTCTCTGGCCATGCTTCCCCTCCTATCACCCATTCCTGCATATGAGAAAACCGAGGCTAGCGGAGCACCCCTGCTGTGCTGTCAGATATACCGGCCCCTGGCCAGGCCTCTGAGCACCAGCTGATTCTCCAGGGGATCACTTACTTCTTCTCTTGCCCACATCCCCTTTGGAGGTGGCAGCTTCATTGAGAAGGACCATCCCCATGGTGATGGCAGCATCTAGGGCCGTCGTCAAGGAAACAGCGAAAACCAGGGACCAGGAAAAGCCACAAGACTCACGTGTCACTGACAGTGACTCTCCCTGCCAGCCACAGACGCAGAACAGGAGAGGCTGGAATGTCTGAACACACACACACACGCACGCACACACGCACACACACACACGCGCGCACACACACACACATGCCAGCCAATCCTCATCTACCAGACAATCTGGATTTGTCTGCACATCAGGGCTTCTCAAGCCTCTTAGCGTCAGGGATCCCTTCAGCCTGCCATCTGGGGAAGCCCGTGGACAGGAGATTACAAAGGAAACCCACCATGCTAAAATACAGACATCAAAACCATAGCTTTAGAAGGCACCCATGCCCTGGCTCCAGGGCACGACCCCCTGCCGTACATGTACGTACCATCCATACCTCAGAATTCAGAGAAAGGACGGCCTCCCCCGGGGTTCCCAAGGCTTAAGGACAACACTCCCCTGAAGAAGAAATCTCCTGACCAATAAGCAAGCAGAGGGCCACATTTCCCAGGGCATGGTGAGTAAGTATCTGGTGGTCTTTGGCTGATAACAAGGGCCGACCAGCCTCAGAAATTCTGAAACCCTCTAGCCTGGGGGTCAGACTGCCTGAGGAGATCTGCTACTGGAAAGAAACCGTGGCAAGCAGAAGGACCTAGGTTCTTGGGTGCCTGCTCACAAACTTTATGGAAAGAAGGCAATGAGCCCCTTGGGGTGGGGGTGGACTGCACAGCCTCTAGGGCCCAACCCAGAATTGCCCACCTGGCTGTCGGAGAACAGGAGAGGGACAATCAGGGGTCAGGGCCAGACTGAGCATACTCCGAGAGGGATGGATTCAGGACTCATGCTCAATTGATGAACAAGCATTTACAGAGCTAACACCCAGCCCTGCCCCAAGGAAGTGACGATCCAATGGGGGGAGAGCATAGGACACATGACATCTGAACAGTACAGCTGGGTGGGCTGACACCAGCAGCTGGGGGAATCAGGGAAAGCTTCACGGACAAAGCGGTGCCCAACACATGATTGAGACTCTGAGAGGCAGAGAAGATGAGGGGGGCATCCCAGGCATGGGCACCACCTGGTGCAGAGACACGCAGATGGGACATGCCGGGGCCCATGGTACCCACCACCGGGAATCATTTGTAATAAGAAAGTAAAGAAAGAAAGGCTGTGAAGGGCTCTGAAGGCCGGGGTCTCTACTGGATCCCAGACATAAGAAGAACCCACTGGAGTCCGCTGGGCAGGGGAGCAGGGCCAAAGTTAGCCCCAGGTGTGGAGGACAATTGGGAAGGGAGAGCCAGGAGACCTGACCTTGTGCCAGGCGAGAGGTGATGAGGGTCTGACCCTGCAGGGGCCGACAGCCTGGGAAAGGGCTGAGACAGGGAGACATCACGGAGGTGGCAATGTGCAGCGCTGAGGGGAAAGCCAGGGCATGAGTCTGATGGTGCCCCTGAAAGAAAGAGAGGAGTGTGGAAGTGGGGGAGCTTTTGCACAAAGAGAATGTGCTCGGTCTAAGGAGTCTCTGTGACGGTCCGTGGAATGTCCAGTGGGCAGCAGACAATGTGGCTCTGGGGTTGGGCCCAAAGACCTACGGCCCGGCTGGAGTGAATGAAGGCACGCCATGAGTTGGCGTGGGAGAGGCCAAGGGCACAGGAGGCGGATGATGATGCAGCAAAAGACTCGGTGCTAAGTACCGAGGACGCAAAGAAAGGCAAAGCCAGGCCTGCCCTCGAGGAGCTCCTGGCGTGCAAACAAGACACAGACAGCGCGAAGGGGAGGGAAGGCAGGTGGAGGCATGAGCGATGGGGCTCTGCTGAGGGTTCAAGAAAGGCCTCCCCTAGAAGATGGGACTTTAACAGGGACATGAAGGGAGCTGGGGAAGCCCCCAGGGAGAGGCCTGGATGAGAAGCGTTCAGGACAGTGGTCAGAGGGGTGAGTCATGGGACCGGCTACCAGGAGGGCAGAGCAAACGTCATGACCAAGGCATGGGCAGAAGGAGCCTAAGAAACAGAGACAGAAGAGGGCTCGCGTGGCTGTGGGTGGAAAGGAGGGTGGCGGTTACTCTCTGCCAGGGAGGGAGTCACAGGGGGGGACCAACAGGGCAGGCACTGGGGAGGGGGGCAGAAGGCAGCCAAGGAGGCAAAGAGGGTGACGAGAGGCAGTATCAAGTGAAGGGCAGTGGCTCCAGAGGGCAAGGCCTGGAGACGGGCAGGACGGCTCTGACTCGCACAGAAATGAAGGACCGGGGGACCAGGAGACAGCCGTCCTGAGTCACAGAGATGGGACTGGCCTGTAGGCAGCATCCTTGCTGCCTCTTCTCCAGACACCAGGAGCGAGGGGGAGCTCAGAATCCCCGAGGATCTGGCTGGACCACGGCCTTGTGGGAGGCCAGCTCCACGGCTTCCTCCCAAGAAGGAAGTGCTGACATCTGTGGATGGTGTCTTCATCTCGGTTCTGAGTTAGCAATCAGCAGAGTGAGGAGGAACAGGGTGGGGATGCCCTGATCCAGGTACGGCATTCAGAAAGCCTTCACGAGACACCACGTGCCAGGCCCTGTGGTCACAAAGACAAAAGGAGAGTCTGCTCCTGATCAACTTCCCATTGACGGAGGAAGGGCAGGGACCACAACACAGTCCAGGCACAGCACGTGTTGAGAAAGGACGCAGAATGCTAGCAGCCAGCAGCACAGGGACGGGGGATCGACTGGGAGGCCGTGAGCTTCCAGCAGGAATGGCTCCCGAGCCGGGAGGAGCGAGGGGAGCGGCGGTATTCCAACTCCCAACCTGACAGATGAGTCAAAGGTGTGGCTGGCACTCCAGCCAGGGCGGAGAGGGCAGACTGGGACCCACGTCACCTTGGGGGAACCAGGCCTTGGTGAGTGCCAGAAGGTGAAAGGAATTGAAAAGGGAGCTTTGTTAATCAAGGCATAAGAAGGAAAGGATGTTTGTTAATGAAGGAGTAAGAGCTTCAGAGGGCACAGTGCAAAGATGAGCATCTATTAAGTGCCTTCCATGGGCTGGTCACTGAACAACCTTGAGAGGCAGGTGCTATTATTAGCCCCATTCTACTCCTGAAGAAACTGAGGCAGGCAACGGTGAAGTGACTTCCCGGGGTCTCACAGGCAGGATTTGAACTCAGGTCTTCCTGACTCCAGGCCCAGTGCTCTACCCACTGCATCACCCAGAGGCCTCAGAAGAGGTGGGAACAACTTGGGGGAGAGGTTGTGGGGCTGGAATGGTGGCTGGGCGGACGGTCCTATGCTCGAAAGCAATAAAGCCTGGACGGGCCAGGGGGTCGCTCTCCCTTTCCGTTGAGGCCTCTGGACAGTCACCCCCCACTTCCCTTCAGTTCCTACCCAGCTCCCCCTCCTGCTCCTGCCCCGGGTCTCTCCCCAGCAGCTTCTCCTCCTTTTCCTCCTCGGGCCCCTCTCCCGGGGTCCTTCTCTTCCTTCTCTCGACATCGCTCTGGTCCTTCAGCGCTGGCACAACCCAGCTTTTGGTTTTCTCTTTAATTTCTCCCTCACCACCCCTCCCAGAATCAATCTGGTGTCTTCACCATTTCAAAGCCCTCCAGACTGACCCCCTTCTCTTGGGATCCCTCCTCCTGCTCCTCTTCCCAAACATCTCATTCCCTCAGAAGCCGGAATATTTAACAAATCCCCTGGAACAGGCACCACGGCCCCTTGGAGAGGGCCTGAAAAATGGGGCTATCTTCCCTTACCTCGGTTAGAAAACTGACAAACCTCCTTTTCATTTCACCATTTCTCCTTTTCTAAGTAAAGAATACATTGCCAGCTGAACTCATTTGGTTTGAAAATAATCATTACCATTAGGACAGAAACAGAGTTAGCGCTCCCACAGTCCAATTGGCTGGAGTTCATGGGCAGCTATACATATTCCAATCATTTCACTCCCAAATCCTGCATGTCACTTCATAGTTTCTCCCCTGAGCTTCTCAATCACTTCCCTACCACAAGAAGAAATAAAAAGGTGGAGCCGATCCCACATCAAACAGCAGCTCTTATTTGCATAAATTACGCACCACCGCCAGAGGCTCTGAACCCCCCCCCCCCCCAACGGTGACAAACATGTCGACATTACACACAGCATCACTCTCAACTGCACCGGCGAAGAGCTTACTTTCTCTTATCGATGACAAGGGGAAAAGGGTTTTGTCAGTTTAAAGATAAGTGAAATTAGATGGTAAAACAACACTAGACCCTCATGGGGAGACCGAGAGTGATCAGCACAGCCAATGATTTCAACCTGCACCCTGTTTGCAGTACTACTTGCTCGTAGTACGTACGTCCAAAGAAGGAGCACATTAAAGGAAGACTGCTCTCTTAAATGATCCGCCTGACGGAACCTGGCTCCAGTAAGAAAGAGGAGAGAAAACACACTTCCTGCATCGGGCCCCAGACCTTCTCAGACATGCACGTGTGCACGGGCTGGATCTGGACAGACACGCATGGCTTCGTAGGGTCCTCTCCAGAGGCAGGAAATGGCAGACCTGTGGTCTTGAGGGCCATCTAATCAATCATATGGGACTTCCAGGGCTACATGCCATGAAGTGGCCAGAGGGCTGGGCCTGGAGTCAGGAAGACCTGAGTTCAAATCCAGCCTCACACACTGACTAGCTGTGACCCTGGGCAAGTCACTTGCCTGCTGGCCTCAGTCTCCTCAACTGTAAAATGAGGGTAATAATAGCAGCCACACAGCAGGGTTGTTGTGCAGATCAAACAATAGTGTTTGTAGAGTGCTTAGAACAGTGCCGGGCCCAGAGCAGGCACTGTATAAAAGCCTGTTTCCTCTGTTCCTGCCCAAGCAACTGCACCTTCTGTTCTCTCACTGCATTTCCTCAGCAGCCCCAGCCCAACAAGGAACAATAGCAGAGAAGAGGGGGCCATGGGAGTCCACCTTTGATGACCTGGTCACCAGAGGGAGGAAACCAGCAGAGACAAAGGCCACGACCACACTTAACAAGAGGAAAGCCATTCAATCACGGGGTATGTGGAAGGAGTCTTGTACATCTGGGGTAGCGGGAGGGGGGAAGGGGGAGGAGAGGGAGGGTTACCCCAAAATCTTCAGCCTCTGCTCAAGGGGCTCAGCTGCTCCTCGCTGGGGGTTGCAGGTGTGACCATTATCCCTTACTCACCAACTAGCAAAGTGGAGGGAGGGGCCTTGCCCCTGGGCCTAGTCCCGAGCAGCCAACCCAGGGCTTCTGGCTGCAAGGCCAGTGGGGGCCCTGCTCTGGTCTGCCTTTCCTCCCCATCCGTAGCTTAAAGGATACTCAGCAGGAGAATGATGTGTGATTCGGCCACAAACTGAGCCTGGCTGCTCCCGTGGATGTAACTCTGCAAAAGAAGAAAGAGAGGACAAGAGGGTTAGAGCGGAAGCCCCCTGGCCACAGAGGCGCCCCATGCCCCTGAAGGTGCCTCCAGGAGGAGGTTCCTTGCTAGCAGCCCCAGGAGGGCGGGCGGGGTCACCAATCTAGAAGTAAAAGTAGCCTGCAGCACCCAAGCCTGTCAGATGCAAACATCCTGGGGAGAACCAAGCCCATGCCCCTTTTAGCAGCGGCAGGCGGGTACTAAGGGAGGGCCTTACTCCCATTACTATCTTCCATGAATAAATGATTCCACACCACTGTGTCAGAGCAGCCAAAGTTCTTCTGGTTTAATCATGAGCTGAGAGGCCTGGCGGCTCCCACCCGGCTGCCAGACATGGCCTGGCCAAACTCTGCGTCTGGCCCCTGCTCCTCATCTCCATCTCCTGGAGACCGCACCTCCCTTTAAGACCCAGCACAGGGGACGACTCCTAAAGAAGTCTTCCTGATCCCCCTCGCTCCCAGGCTTTCAGATCTCTCTTCTTCCTCAAGGTGCCTCAGGGTCTGTTGTGCATGTCGTAATTCCCACAGGAATGGAAGTTCCTTGAGACAGAGAACTGGTTTCCACTTCTATTTTAATGTATTTAGTAGCTGGGGCAGGGCCTTGCACACAGTAGGCCCAGGGAAGTGAATGGCTACTTCCTGCTCCTAACTCCCAACCTTCAGAACACACAATAATTCTAGAAGGTAGAAAAAAGAGGAAATGATAGGACTTTAGAAACAGATGACAGTTTATAACATTTCCCTCAAAGTTTAAGACAGATATTTAACAGAATCATCGATTACTCAGCCTCTAAACTAACTTTAGCAATCAGCCTTCTACTGTGATGCCAGAGTCAGCAGGCACTGAACAGACTGGACGGCTGAGCAAAGGCAGGGAGGAAAGACACCAGGACCAGAGGGGCACACAGCAGGGGACCTAGCTAGGTGAGGAAGATGGGATTGCACCACCGTGGAGCTCTGATCAGCAAAGAGGACACGGCATCAGCCTAAGATGCCGAGAGAATTGTTCTCCGAAGGGTCTGCGGTCTGGGATTCCTGGGACAAAGAAGCCCCGGGAATCATTAACCAGGACATGGTTCCTGCTGGTCTTTCTCCTGCCCCACCCCACCCAGGTGATTTCTCCTTCCCTCTCCTCCCTCCTCCCACCCCCAGGGCCATCTGCTAGGCTCATCCCTAGAGGGATGGCCACAGGGCGCTAGGCAGGTGTAAAGAAGGGAACACAATCACAGACACTGGGCCCTCAACACACTGCCAGGTCACAGCATTTTCTTTCCGTTATACTTAGAACCAACTCTAGACTCACAGATGAGAAACCAAATTAGAGGTGACCCGTTGTTCCAAACACCCTCAGGGTCTCTCTTCCCCCAAGTCCCAACAAGCTACAAAAATAAAAATAAAAAAAACATGCTGGGAGGCTGGCGCCGACATAAAACACATCTGTTCTCAGACTCCCAAAGAGCACTCGCCTAGATTTCAGAAACATGGCTTCTAAACGCTGTCAGTCAAATCCCCTGCAAAGTTTAAAGCCAGATCTTCATTAGGAAAACTCCAGAGTATCACGTCTTCAACTTCTACAGAGCACAAACAGTCACTGAACCAAGGCAGAGGAGTGGGCAGATGGCCCCACCCGAAACAGGGCTGCTGGCGGCCCCGGGCGGTCACGTATGAGAGTCTGCAGGGAAGTGAGGGTCCCCCTAGCAAGGCATCCCGCCCCATCCCCCAGTAGGCCGTCTCTACTAGCAAAAGCGTGCTCGTGGTTTTTCAACTGCCCCCTCCCCACCCCCAATCTGAGAAGCAAAGGCCTGAGAGATCTGGAAGAGGCTCAGGTGAAGAAGACAGGAGACCCAGTCGTCAACAACTATCTGGTCGTGGCATAAGGAGAAAAGGTGGCCCCATCGACCTGCAAGCATTCGTCAGAACCATGGTGGAGTACTTGAAAGCAGGCATCTTCGGTGAGTTTGATAAGAGCGGGCCATCGGGAACACCCAGAGAATCACTCAATGCTTTCATTCTTCTAACTTCTCCCTGCCCCCAGGATCTATACACCCGTGCGCATGTATGGACATACAAACCAAGGAATGAAGCTAGTCAGGTTTCCCCCAGGGCGCATTAACACCAAGAGACATACATCACTAGGCTTTTCTGTGAATTATTTTAGCAGCATAACTCTTGGTCAGAACGTCTCATCTTAAACAAAGATATGATTTTAAAGAAAACTAATTTTAAAAAAGATAGATGGAGAGAAAGCTGAACATTGAGTACGGCCCACTCTCCCACAAATACGCTAGCTCCTGTTCTCAGTCTCCAGTTTCCTACGCAGCTTGAGTAAAGGTAACGGTTGGTTAGTTTCAAACTCAGAGCCAGACCCTGCTGGGACATGTGCTTGGTGATGGCACCTCCAGGCTGGACACGGGGGGATCTTCACAACCGAGCCCCTCCAGGGGGATATTCTGATGACCAGACCAGGGCTGATTTTCCCTGTGGCTTCACCTGATTTACGAGTGAAACCATCCTGGCTTTACTTCTAAGAAGCTGAAGACCTCCAACACACTGGAGCATCCCTTCATGGTGGAGCTCAGTCAAGTGGATGAAAGTTTTCCATGAATTCCTGGAAAATCCTTGGGTGCCCAAATCTTCCCACACTAAAAAGTTCTCTGGGTTACAAAGTTGCCTGCATCTTTCTGCTCCCCTCCCCCCCACCCCCCACAAAAAAGGAGAAAAAAAGATGGCTGCCGCATTGGGTCTTCTAGTGGAAAACTACCCAAGTGTCTTTTCCCCTAGAGAGGGGAAACCATTTTCCTCATCTTCAGCTTATTATGAGCCTGCTCGAGGCTTCTGTGGCTGTGAGGAATTTACTGATCAATGTGGGTGAATGGTCCCCTAGCAACCGTCACTCACAGGATCAAAAAGTTCTTTGACAGCCACTGCAGGTGTATGGCACTAAGACATAAGAGGACACAACTTTGAGACAAACTGATAAAGATGAGAAAGTCTGAAAATGGAAATATGAAGTAATTTCTATACAATCGCCTTCCTAGAGCACCATAAACTTACTACTGAGTCAGAAGGGGACTCAGAGGCCATCTATCCCAGGCCCCGTATTTTACAGATGGGGAAACTGAGGCCCAGAAAGGGAAAGGGACTTACCAAAGGTCACTTACCAAAGGCCCTGCCCAAACTACCAGCCAACCTAGTGGGTGAATCTACAGAAAGCAACTCCTCTGCATGGCTCTGCCACCCGCCATCATCTCTCCTCCCATCCCCCATGCCGTGTAAACTCCATCACTGTGTCATGTCAGACCCTTGGGCTGGCTGGGAATAAACTAGCCCTGCGTAGCTTATTCAGAGCCTACCCCTCCCTATGCCCCACTCCAACTCTGCCCACCTCTTCCACTGTGCCCTTGGGCAGACTTCAGTGGGATCTGGCTTCCCCCGGGGAAGCCGCATCCCTGCCACCCGCTCCAGCACCAGCTGTCCTTGGACGCTCCCCACGCCACTGCCGGCCGCTCCTTTGGCCACTGTACTCAAGAAACAGCTCCTCCTTTGAAGCTTTTCACCCAGTACAGACCACAGTGGTTCTTATCTATTAATTCCCAGACTCTTCTCCTTCCTTACTCAAGCGGTCCCTACCTGACTCAGCCTCTTCCCCAGCAGCTACCCTTGCACTGAGGGACTTCAACCCTCCGCCTTCTCTTTAAGAGGGGGACGTCCTTCAAGCTGAGGAGGGATTGCCTATTCCCTTGGTGCTAGCTACCTCTACTCCCCCTCCCAACTACCCCCCATCCATATCTTCTCAGTATGGGGGATTGTTGTGCATTTTACCCAAGTTGTCCTATAGATACAATTTTAGAATTTACAGACAGCCCTCGTGCAATAATGTGAACAAAAAAAAGACAGGAGATTCTGAAGAAAGCCAGAAAATTTGTTTACCAATAGAACTGGGGGCTTGCTCCTGAAGGCCTAGGTCGTCCACATGAATTTACAAGGGAATCTCAATCTTTATGTTTCAAAAGAACTTTTACTGTTTCAAGAACAAAATATAATTCAAAAATTTTTCTAAACAGTTGAGAAAAAGGTACTATATCGTACTCTTTATGAAGATAATGTGGCTCTGATATCCAAACCAGGGAGAGATAAAGCAGAGAATGTTTGACTTATTTCACTACTAAATACTGAAATGATAATTTTAAATAAAGGTGTAACTGATTATAACAACATATTTTTAAAAAGTGATCATTAAAATGAAGTTGAATTTATATCATGGATAAAAGGATTAATTAAGGAAATTAAATTAAGGAAAAATTATAATTAATCATATGTGACATTTGCTTTTGTTTTGGCTCAGGTCACAGTGCTTCCTTTAATCCCACAGGGCGACAGCTGTAAAAGGCTAAAATCCATTTAAGAGTCTGGAGTAAATGTGTGTGATATTGTTAAGTCCACCTCCCTGAGCCGTAGTTGTTCCCCTGAAGCAGGGGGCCCAGGGGGCTCTCAGCCTCTCTGGCTCCTGGAGAGCCCTCCAAGGCCCAACTATAGCAGCAGCCACGTGTTTGCTGTTAGTTTTTTACAAAACAGCTTCCTGCATTTTTCTTACTACAGCTTCCTAAATCAACGCCGAGGGACGATAAATAAGCTATTACCACATTGCTAGAGATTGCTAAAAATCCTCTTGGCTCTGCTCCCTGCTTGGCGTATAATTCTCCTTCTCAGTTTCTCTCCCCACTCCAGACTTTTATTGATCACTGCAGTTTGTCTGCAGCCCTGCGCTGTGGCCATTGTCATGGTGACGGGAGAGGCTGGTGACATCTCTGGTGACATCTGTGTTGTAGGGGAGGAGGCATGCAGGCAGGGTCAATCATTTCTGGATGGCTGCTGTTATTTCTCTGGAGTTCCACCCTTACTTACATCATCAGCCGCTCTGAGGTCATTTCTAACCAAGGTCAGCCCAGAAGTGATGGGGCAAGCTCA